TTAATCATCAATATTTAATTCGCTTTTGTTCTTATATGAAGCCAACTGACATCGACTGCAATAGACTTCATCTGAATATATTTTTTAGAATTTTTACAAATAATTTTATTAAATGGGATTAAAAAATCTTAAAAGATATTTCTCAAAATAATTTTTTTCCAAATCTTGAGCCCATTGAAATCAATCAAAATTGTAAGAATATTTTAATTTCAATCAAAATTTATTTAAAAGAGAAAGCTCAATGTGTATAGCTAGTAGAAGTAGAATGAGGAATAAATAAATTTTTATAATGAGAAAAAAATTGGATATCTATTACTCATTCAATTCAATTCTTATTTCGTCCTTAAAGAACATCGTCATTATTTTTTACAATATTTTAATTTAAATCTCTTTTAAGGATTGCCTAATGATTATAAATTTTTTCTATAATTTCAGAATTGAAAAAATTTATTTTTGAATTATTCGGAGCATTCCGAATGTATATTTTATGTAATTGTAATATTTGCTTCAAAATATTCACTTCAGACATTTTAATTTGTTATAAAAATACAAAATTATATATTAAAACCGTTTGACTTAATTTGATTAGTATGAATAATATGATCAGTTTCATCAACTTGAAATTCTAGGCATCTGGTGATATAGCAACAGACTGCTGCCATTTTAATGTTGCGGTTTTGGCCTTCACTGTTCTTATTACCCTAGTTACACAGTTTATACAAGGTTTTATAATATTGCATTATACAGGATCATGGCCCTTAGATGCTGTTATAATGGCCTAACGAACTGTATATAGTGAACCATAGTTTTGCCTTAAATTTTTGAATAAAAATATTTTTGTATTATGCTTTAGTGGTCTGTATGCTTATAAGTCACTTTTCCATTTTGTTTTAAAAAAAAAATTTAAAGGAAAAAATGAACTTATATAAAATATAGAATGAAAAAGGATCAAAGTCATATTTAGAAAATAAAGAACAATTCTTTAGGCCATTACAGCCCTATTAAACATGAGAACTACTTTTAACATTTAACATGAGCGCCTCAGATATTGTAAACACCTAAAGCATTAAAATATGAGTTTAATATGGTAATTTACGACATCAATTAATATAAAGTTATAGATAATATGGTCAATTTTATTCAGGGATAAGTAACGATTTTTAATGTAATTGAAAAAATTTCATTTTGAGTTCCGAATTAATTTCCGAATAAAAGAGCTCACATTTTCAATTTTTTCCAAAAAAAATCGTTTGTAATTTTAACACCTGTATTAAGCTTTTATTTTTAGGTTTGTAGCTCTGATATCTAAGTATATTTAAGCTTAACTTAGAACAAAGTCTATTATTACATTCGAATTTACAACATACGATTTTAATTGAAATTTTGAAATTCCTGTGATGTGAGCTATATAAGTTTTCCATTTTAATCAATGCATAAATTTTTTAATTTTATTTATACAAAATAAAATTCTGTGAACCGGCAATTAAAAATTATTTATTTAAAAAATTCATAATTTTTCCAATACGAGCGTACTTTTCGAAAGAATTGTTCAAAAATTCTAAAAATATTTCTCAAAAATTTCTTATGAACTCAACTTAAATATTATTTACTTATTTTTTTCCAATTATATTATAATAATGTAATAATGTTGTAATAAAATTTTTAGGGATATTCAAGAACACTTTGTACCGGTCCGAATTGAATTATAAATAAAATTTTTTAATAAAATATTCTTAACCATAATTGTATTAATGTTTAAATAATTAAATATAACCTACTAATAGGTGTAATACCTATAATATATGAATGTGTGTATATATATTTATAATATTAACAATTTCACTGATAATTTAATTCAATTAGATGTCAATTAAATGTTTAGAATCATCATATTTCGTTACTTCATTGACAATAGTCGTGTTTGCTATATCTTATGTATTTTACGTATAATTGATATTAGGTATTGGAACATTTACATTTTATATAATTATATACATAATGTATGTCAATCAAATTTGTATATTTAAATTCTGAAATAAAATCATTTTTACACTTGCATACGTATTTAAGGTATTTTGGAGTATTACGTAATATACCATATATTATACAGAATTCAAATGAAATAGGATCTAATTTAATAATCCCAATGTACAATGAAATAACTACTTTAATAATAATATAATTTTCGAAAAATTTACTTATTTATAATATTAATTTAGTGATATTAACCATAGATTTCCATATTGATCTAAGTAGTTGAATATACTCGTAAAAATTTATTTTTTATAAGGGGTCGCAAATTCCCTAAAGTGTTCTATATACTATTAAATGGTTTTAACAGGTTTCTCGTTCAGTTTCAAATTTAATTATTTTTGCATTATTTCAGTTTTAGCAAAAAGAATTTTTGAAAAGGATTTCAATTGAAAAATTTTTGAAATATGTGAAGTGTGTATAATTAATCACACTATTAATAGTATATTTAAACTATGTAGGAATCTGTAAATAAACAAATACATATGGCTAGTTTATTATTAAAATAGAGCTCAGATGATTAGAAAGAGTACATTACCATTTTGAATTGGAAAAATTGCGCAAATGATTATTAAGAGCATATTGGAACCCAAACTGAATTTTGCCTCCATATCAAAAAACTGAATAATATAAGCGTATGTTAATTGAATTGTGATTTTATACCAAAATTTAACCAACTTAGAAAAGAAAATTTATTTACCTTACATAAGATTCTAATATGTATTTTTAAATAACTTTGGAATTTAAGAATAAATAAAAAATTTAAAATTCTGCAACACAGAAGATGAGAGGGCAATAATTTATCCAACATACAAATTTTGGTTCTAAAAAGCTTGAATGCCTATAGTTACGTCATTTGAATTGCATTCAAAGATTTAGAAAATTTTCATAATATTGAGAATATTTTAGCTCTTATGAAAGTTATTTATTATACCCCATGTAATATAAAAACTGTAATAAATTAGAGAGAATAACTCAAAATATTAACTTAGCCACTAATATTACAATTTTGGCCTTAATTACATTTTATAATACAATATACGAGTAATTGCATGTGTTAGCAAGATTTTTCATAATAAAATCAAATTCAAATCAACTTTTTCTCTGTGTATAAAATTTCAAAAATTTTAAATTTTGCGTTATTCAACAAATTAAAATTAATGTCCGCGTATTATAATATTAAAATAACTTGAAAAAGTATACCATATGTTCTGAATATTAACATAATAAAACCGCGAATATAATCAATATAATATAGTCATATGCAATAATTTTATATAATTTTAATATTACTCTTTAACATGCATCCTTTTTCATAAATCCTTTAAAACTGCACTATACACAATCTTGATATTAAATAATATTACTCTAGAAAATTTGCGCTAACATCATATAAGTGTGTACTTATATGATTACACAATACATATTTATTATATGGATATGAACAAGTTAACGTCAAGGTATGAAAATAAAACCTTTCAAAAAATTTCGTTTCATCAACCATTATAATTAATAATATGTAATTATAAAACACGTATGTAAGTAAATATTACTATACAACACTCATAATGTACAACTATTTTTATATTATACATATATATAAAATTACAATTTACATGTAAATATGTGTAACTCAAAATATTATACGTGAGGGTTAAATTAAAACAGAAAAGTTTATTTTGATAAACTTCAAGGTGAATGTATTAATATCTTAATTACACTGGTTGAAAATACAAATTCCATGTGTACATATAAATTTATTAATAATGTATGATTTTTACCTGAACCTCATAAGTATATAGATTTGTGGTAGTAAAATTTTGTATTTATTTTTTGTGTTTTTTTTTTTTTTTTTGCGTAACGTGTTAGTTAACCGCATTCATAAGAAATTAATAATGAAATTGCGTATAAAGGAATTAAAATTTAACCAAATGAAAATTGGTTTGATGAAAATTTGTAAATTTCTTACTTATAGACTTTGGATTTAGTTGTGTTTTTGTAATTTCTTAGTAAAAAAAATAATTGCAGTCGCAAACTTTTAAAATAATTTAAGAATTTCTGTGTATTGCCTTTCATTTTCGTCAATATATTCCAAATATAGAATATTTGAATACTGCAATTACTTGTTCATAAATAAAACACTGCATTCGAAGTATAAGTAATCAAATTCATTTTACTCTTTGTTGTCATACAATATACATTTTTTTGGCCATATAAAAAAACATTATAATTTATTTTACTTAAGTCTTAGAGTCCTAACGTCTTTATCTGCCATTACAGATTTTGTGAGAAAAACACCTCGATACGTTTGATACAAGGGAGTGAGAAATTGTAGTAGGCAAGAGAGGCGAAACGCTGAATAATAATACATACACTGCAGCAGAGATTTGAGGGTGGTATATGGTATGAAGAGACGCACAAAGATCCTTGACGATATTTGTGCGTTATCACTCCAATACACAATCTATAATTTATTATCTAGTCCTCATAAATAATTTTAATATATTATGCAGATGTCATGATTGTTTCGTGAATATTATTTACTGATTCGTAAGCAACTTCTGTTTTATATAGAATAACATAATTTTAAATTGTCAAAAATTGTATCTATATTAATTTTTATCTCCATGTTAACTATCTGTCCTAAATAGTTAAAATATCCAAAAACAGACAATAATTGAACATTAAGAATTTTAATAAACAAAAGTTATCAACAGGAGAAAATGAAAGAGTAAAGCAAAATTCAGAAAAAGTAATAAAAATTAGGTGAACTGCATACAACAGAAATTTTAAGACTCATCTAACACATACGTCATTTATTTTAAACTAAATTGCTAAATCCTTGATAAAATTATCTACCCTATATTATTCACTATATCAATTGAAAACAGAGTAAATAATTTTCTTTAGAACAACTTTTCTATCAACACTTTTCCTACCTTTATTTGAATATACCAAATTTTACTTACGTTTTTAAAGGATATCCATTCTCTATAACGTTTTTAATTGTTATTAAACTTTAATTAACTTTTATACTTTTTTGTAATACAATAAATTTTTTTAACTTTTCAATTGTATAAGAATTCTAACTTTTTTATTTAAAATTATTAATTAATTTTTGCTTTTTTTTTATTGATTTTTAAAAAAATTTAATAATTCACAAAACTCTCAGTATTAGATTCATGATTAGAATTTTTGAAATTGGAACCAGAAATTTATGAAACACTCGTCACAATATTTATTAATAATTTTTTTTAACTATAATTTTATTTCACTATATAGACCCAATAATTATATTTGATTTTATATCATTGCTATTCATATCAGCATTTATTTAAGATTTAATATTTTTTCTTTTATATTTTTAATTGTTTAAATTATTAATGTATATTAGTGATATTGTTGAAAATTTATTTATTAAGAATTTTATACATTAAATCAAAATTTAATAAAAATTCTGGAAAATGAAAAATAATTTTGAGCTTTACTCTATATAACATACATAATTTTATTATAAATTGCAATAAAATTTTAAAAATAGTTGAGAATCTTTGTACAAAAACAAAAAATCATTTAGTGAATTGTGTTATATAGGGGGAATTTCATAAGAAAATTTTTTATAGCTTAATTAGAAAGTGAAAATTGATTTTTGTTTTAGTTGTAAGGAACAGATAAAATTCTAGTGTAAAAATATAAAATTTGAACATATTATGTAAAACAATATTTTCTATTAAAATAAAGTACCAATGATATTAGTCGAATTAAATATTTATAAATTCAAATAAATAATAACTTATGAGTATGAAAGAATTTCTATTCAAAATAATACGTTTCAAAATTTAATAAACAATTAAATAAATTAATTACAATATACAGTACCGGACAAAAGAATAGCAGTACGGTGAAAAACGCTGGGGTTGAAAAATTTCAATATAATTAAAGAAACACACATGCGTGGTAGTATACATTTTTGATTTTATACTAATCATTTCATTTTAATAAAACAAAAAGAATTTAAAATATTTCAGTCTTGCAACAATAACTTCATAAAAATTAAAAAAATTTTGGGTATTGCTATTAATTTGCACGTAGTCATATGAATATTAAATAATTCAAAATTTTAATATTGTAAAAGTAAAATTATGACAATATTGTCGTGTTTTTAAATAAAAATCCAGAAGCAAATTATTCAACTGATCAACAATTCAGAAGTTAAGTTTATTAAATATGTAACAAATAGTAGATAGGTGGGAAACTTCTGATTTTCTAACCAGAATTTTTAATTGCTTTTATTTTCCATCAATAATTATTGGAAAAGAATACATAAAAAGACACATCGTGCCTTTATAGTTTATTTACAGTTTTCTTTAAAAATCCTGTTCATGCAAAATATTTTTTTTGATTAAAATGTAATAGGACTCTAGTTAATACGACATGTAGCACATTTAATATTAAAGGTATTTAATATTAAACTTCGAAAACTACTAAATAAATTCTCAATTTGAAGGCGTAAAATTTATTACGATTATATTAATTTTAAAATGACATTTATCATATAAGAACAGGATAGTTTTGTGATAGTGTTTTGAGACTGAAAATCATAAATATTTTCTAAAACTAGCTATGCAGTGTGATTCAAAGATAACTCTTATGTTTACGAGAATTACTTTTAGCTATAAGACACTATCCTACCCAAATAACCGTTTTCAAGTGATAAGTCTTATTTCTTTCATTATAAAAATCAATTCAATAATAAAATTTCAGTACATAAAGCTGAATTAAAATATGCAATTCAAAAATTATTCTTCAATAATCTTATAAAAAATTGCATAACTTTCGGGGATTTAAAAAAATATTATACCTTATAGCTAGTTAGATATTATAAGGGAAAAAAGTAATTGTACTATTTTTTTTTTATATATATTAAAATTGCAAATCTCTAAAACAATATTACTCTAGTTCTATAGTATGTCCACAGGAATAAAATTTTGAATCTAAATTTATTAATTTAGATTCAAAATTTTTCAATTATTGTTATTAATTTATTGTACTAGTAAATCAGTTTTATATTCTTTCAAAAATTATTTTAATTCCTTAATTTTTAGTCCTAAATGAATTGATTTATTAAAAAAAAACTTAAATTATGCTCTTACTTTGAAATATTTATGTTGCTATCTATATTCGAAGTTCAAAAAAAAAAAATTTTTTTCTCGCTTCTTTACACTTGTTTTATCCTTTTTATCTGTTTCGGTGTTTATTTTTTCTTTATTTTCTTTTTATTCTATTACAATAATTTTTTCTTCTTCATATTTGAAACGTAAAAAACATTCTTCACTTTTTTATTAAAATTTTTTTTTCCCTCTAATACTTTCGTATTCACTAAAATTTATGTTTAACAAGAAAAACGACTAAAAAGGATATTTTTTATAAATTTCAAATATTTTTATATCTACTAGTATTTCATTTCAATTTTTCATAATTCAATATTTTTATATTTTTCTCTATATAATTTAATAAAATCGAAACAATTGAAATTATACTATGTTTATATATATATATGTGTACTACCTATACAGGATAACTATTTTCTATTTATATTTTTTCAATATTTTTTTCCGTATTATTTTATTTTCACTTTCATTTTATTAAGTTTTCCTCCTTGCTATAATATATTATGTATACAATATTTGTTTTGTTACTTTTTTTTAATTAAGTTGAAAGCGTATAAGAACATGATATTATCATGAATGTCCTTATTTTATTTTATATTAAAAATGTTTTATAATTATGTGTCAAGTAGATGTTAATTTAATGTTTTACATTATAGTATGAATTTCATTTTTTTTATTGAATATTATTCATATATTAATTATATATATATATGTATAATTTTTGTTACTTGTATGACGTACACGTATAGTTTTTATTTTAAATATAATGTGAATGAACTTTAAATATTTCAAAGAATATTAAAATTTATTTGCATATTTATTATTATTATTGAGATAAAATATTTTATAGAAATATTATTTGACTTTTATATTAAAAAATAATGAATAAAATTTAGATTAAATTTTGGAAAAAATAATTTATAATTTAATAATTGTTATATATTTATAATTTTGTAAAATCGTACGAATATATTGATAATATTTTAATTATAATTATGATTTACAGATTTGAAGTTATAGGACTATTTATTTTTCTTAAAAATTATTTCCGGCACCATAAATTTGTTTTTGTTTTTTATAACATCATTATGCTTTTGATAAGGTATTCTCTATCTATTTTTAGTAACTGACGTAATTTTTTAATAATAAATTTTATTTCATATTCAATAAAATTCTATATAATTTTTTTAAATTACTTTACGTTTTGCTATACTAGTAATTAAGTTTTACTTTTAACTCTATATAGTAACTAAAATACCATATTAGTTTATAAATTTAGAATTCATTTAATTTATATTTTAATTCAAACATCACATTTTCTTGTTCTCTTTATTATTAATAATTAAATATTAATTTTTAATTATATAATTAATTGTTACGAATGTGTATTAGATTTATAATATTTATATCTCACTTCTTTTAATTATTTTAGACATTTTTCAATATCTCAAGGGTATTAAAATTTTTATGTTTAATGCTTTTAATTTAATTTCACACTGTACATACATATGTGTGTACACATTTTGAAAAACTTTATTTTTTTTTTATTACTTTCACAAGGACATTTTAATTGTATTCATATATTTATTTATTTATTTCTTTATTTATTTATTTATTTAGTACATTTATTATGCACATTAAATATATAAGTTTGTATTGTAAGCAAAATTATAGTGTTGTATGATATGTTGTATATATGTATTATATTATAACGTATTACAGTTTCCTTAATACCAATGACAACAGAAAAACATATCCAAAAAATATTTATTTCATATTATTATTATAATAAAATCATTTTTATTGCTATTTTATTTTTTACTACTTTTTTTTTGTCTATAAATTTCCTTTACATACGTATACACATATATTATTAATAAAAACAACAATTTTTTTTTTTATTATTATTTATTTTCACGCTTATTGTTTACATAAAATTGTTTTTATACATATATATTTTCAATGTATATTGTAAATGTACAATAATATAATTAATAGCAGGAACAATAACAAAAACAATAAAAAAATCTAAGTTTATAAAATGTATGGAAAAAGAAACATACTATTTATATTAAAATGTATGTTTGTATATATATATATATATATATATTGTTATTGGAAGAAAAAAGTTTCTATAATTTCATAGAAATACACATTGTTATATATTTTTTTTGTTTTTCAAGGAACAAATCATTGCACGTGTTTTCAACATAACAACTCTCTTTATTTTAACATCACTATTTTTATATGCTATATTTATATATATTTTTCATATACACACTTATTTATGTATATATATATATATATATTATCTAAAACAAAATCCACAAAATTTATTTAGTATTGATCTTCACATACATATAATTATTTTTTATATTACATTAAGGGATAACGAACAGATTTTTAATGACACAAATATTCTATATATATATGTATGTACATACATAAATATATTAAAATTTGAAAAGATGATTAAATAAACGGAACACAATGAATATTATTGAAACCAGCAAAATCAAAAGAAGAGAAAGCAAAATATTTTATAGATTTTTTTCTCTTCTTATATTTCCACTCAATATAAATATTATGTACAATGGATTCATAAATATCATAATAATATTGCAGTGTATGACAAAAACACTCAAAAAAAAGAAAACACAAACAACAAAATTAAAAAGACACAATAAATTTTATTTTGATTTACGGCCCGAAGAATAATCCTTATTAAATTTAACGATATATAATATTGATATGTACACGTATATATTATGTATGTGAGTTACAAGTTCATGTATATTAAAAATTTTTCACTATGTATTATGATTACATCCTTAAAAAAAAGCGACAAAGCAAAAAACACGAAATAAAAATTGTTTATTTTTAATTTTAATATCCTTCTCCGTTTTTCCTTTTTATTTTTGTTTTTCTTCTTATACTTATATGAACATAATTTCGATTTATAATATTATTTTTGTTATTGGTATCACGTTGAGTCATAGAAATATTTTTACGTTTTCCCGTAAAATTTTTTTTTTTTTTTTTTTTTAAATTAGATTTTTTTTTATTTAAATTCAATTTTCGTTTTATTTTTAATTTATTAAAAAAAAAAAATGAAATTTCATTCCCGCACGTATTTTTTTTTTTTGCGATTTAAATTAAGCCATTTTCTATTACAAAAAAAATCGTTGAGATGTGCATCGGCGATTGATATCGCATGAACTGGTATAAAGTAAAAAATTTTTCATTGAAAATTGGTGGTTAGTATCCTTTTAAATTTGAACAGAAGGATTTCTGTTTGTTTACAGAAACGATAATATTTTTGTTTTTGGTTAAGTAGATTTAATAATATTATGAAAAGCTTTTAAAACTTTCAATAAAAGCTTAAATATTAATACAAAGAATGCGCATTTTTAACAAAGTATTTTGACTTATTTCGACAGAAGAGAAAAAACTTTGCTACAAAAATAATATTGCAGAATCTCTTTCTCTCTTTTTTTTGATAACAGAAACGAGTTTTTTGCGGAAAGAGAATTTTTACAATATTTACTTTATAATATTCTCTTATAAATTAATGCTGATTAATATTAGTAATATTTTCTGCAAACCTGCAAATTTGAAGTAAATAGAGAAGTAAATATAATATGGTTATATGTTATTACTCGTATTTATTTATTTTAGTATGTTGAGTAGTAAATATATAATTATTATTATTTTTCTTTTTATTATATATTTAGAAATAGGTTTTTAGCGGTGTACTATGGAGATGCTATAATTTTTTATACAATTTGTTTAATATTAATATACCGAGTTTTTATTGAACTGAGATATTCGTACAGTAATAAGAAAAGGTGTTAAAATATTCTTATAACATTAGTTAATTTCAGTACAAAAACACATTGTGAACAAAATTATTTTTTACTGAGTGTCTATTATTAAGTGGCATTAAGTTTATTTTTAATGAATAATGTGTTAGATGAATTTTCTTATTTAAAATTGAAATAGTATATAATTTTGTATTATTGCACAAAATGTTTATTTTTTCTCTATATGTACTATATGAACTGAGATTATGTATGCATTACACATAATCTACATATATACCATGGTATTGTACCTCATCAGTATAGATGACACTTTAATATGTAGACAATATTCTCAGATCAACAGGTTCCGAGTTACCGGGGCTTAAAGTACGCTCTGGGTTTTTTTTTTTTTTTGCTTTTTGGAATACTAGGCATAACTCCACTAATGTGCCAGATAATTTCATAGTATATAGTAGCGCGCTTAAATATAAACCACTTTGTACATATCACGCTCTGGAAATATTGAGCTTTTTACAGTTTAAATTAAAAAACCAACATACTTTGTAGAAGTAACTTTGACTGGGTATATCGTGCAACAATAAGAACTATATTATTATGACTAAGATGATAAAATGCTGAAGAAAAAGGAAAAAAATAATCAATAGAAAATATAGAAATTGATATTCATTGATTTCTATATAGGATAGAAATTTATATCATAATGCAAATTTAAAGAACCATTCATGTAAATCACAATTTTAGCGAACATGAGAATTTATGAGATTCACCTGATGTCCAATAAATTGAATTTAAAATGAAAAATATGTTTGTCGCATAATTTTCATTTCACGAAAAAATGATAAATTTTTGATGGTTTAAACATGCAATACAAGCAACTCCTTTATCTAGTGTCTCCGTACATACATACATATCATGTTTTGTACGACTATCCTTTAATTGAGAATATTATTTGTTTAGGAAATAATACATTTCCATGTTTCCATACAAAACAGTAAGTATACCAAATAAATTAAAAAACTTGCAGAATAGAAAAAAGGTATGAAATATTTTCGAAATTCAAACTGAATTTTTTGTATTTTTATTAATTTTATTATCAAAATTTAAATTACATATGTGTGGAAATAAATTTTTAGTTTATGTAAAATTTTTTCAATATATTAGTAAATAAATATTTTTTTCCACATTCTGTTACAGACAATTCACATCAACGGAGTTAAACATTTACTCATAATACAAAATTTTTACAAAGTATAATCTTAAATAAGACCCAATCTTACATTTTATGAATTTTGTTTTTTTTTTTTTTTATAAAATCTCATTAAAAGTAGTCATGATCTGAACAACAAACTGGGACCGAGATTCAAGGTTTTATATTTAAAGAAAACCTTGTTCATCGGAAAGCCAAATTTTCTTTAGGAAAACATTTTTAAGAATGCTTTTTTGATTTCCTTATTTTTCAAGATTTTATAAAACCTTGTACTTTATAAACTTTTTGAAATTACAAAGCAAACAAAATGAATTAAATTTGTTTAAAATTTTTAATAAAATAAAAGAAAACAAAATAAACTCAGCACACGTGTATGAACACAAAACACAAAAATTGTAATTAAACAATTTTTTTAATTATTTTTAAGTACCAACACGAGATTTGTTAATTAAATTATTTAAAAATTTCCTATAGAATTGTTTTTAACACTAATCTACACTTCCAAAAAGGAAAATATTAACAGATTTTCT